GGAGTTATATGCTTTAGGTGAATCTATGAAGTGCTGTGATTACACGTCAGTAACAGGTTGAAGTATATTTTTATGCTAACCTAGACTCACACCTCCCACTTCTGTGCCTCTAATCTCCCCTGTTCTTTCTTCACCACAGAAGCCTGTGGCCCAATGACATCTTTGGGAGCAGTTCTGACGATGAGGTCCAGACACTACTGAATATTTACTTCCGGCACCAAACTCTGGGACAAACGGGCACTTATGCCTTGGTGGGTTCTAACCACAGCCTGACTGAAATCTGCACCAAGCTGATGGAACTAAACATGGAGATCCGAGACATGATCCGCCGAGCCCAGAGCTACCGGGTCCTCACTACTTTTCTCCCAGACTCCAGTGTTTCCGGCACTAGTCTCTGACAAGAGCCTCCCGTCCCCCATGCTTTCCAAGCTTGCCGTGCTGCCATGCTGGGGCGACGTCACTCAGTGTCTTCTCAGCCTTCGCAAGGCTTGGACAGAGTGTTCTCCTTCTTGTTACCTGTAGGACTCTTTCTGAAGAAGATTACGCAACTTCCAATGTGTAGCAATACTGTCCACAGCGAGGCAGCGTAGGCTCCCGAGGCAGACTCTACCCATCATGCTGTGTGGCTGTCGTTCACTAAGTGAATGCAACCCACTACTGAAGAAATGACTTCTGTTGCATTACCAAAGTTGACCACACTGAACGACACTGTCCTTTCTAGAAACGGTTTTAGATTGGCAAAAGTGCAATGTTTTTCTTCACATGAAAAAAAAAATTTATATTCTAAAACTTGTACATTCATTCTCTTTCTCCTGTTTTTCTTCCTTTTTTGTGGGATTTTGTTTGCTTTTTTTAGTGAGTTGTTGGGGGTGGGGCAGGCAAAATGAAGCTGGCCACTGAAACCTGTAAGACGGTCCAAAGCTGACAGCCTGTGTGCTTGAAAAGGGAATTGTAAATGGACTACAATTTAATGTACACTGTATCTAAACGAGGCTGCTATAAAGTATCTTGCTTATGTTGCTAGGCTACTGTTTCTGAATCTGGATACTGGACATCTCTGTACCAAGAATGGTCCAGATGGGTTCTTTTAAAGGATCTTGGCTGCTTTTTTACAAGAAAGTTGCTTTAGAGTGTTATTTATACTACAGAAGAATGAGTGTTCGTTTGATTTAACTTTGCTGTTTTGTAGAAAGACAAATTATTCACATAAATCCCAAGTCCTCTCATCTGTCCTGCATGCATCTTTTCATAGCCATTTGGATGGCCAGAAGTAGAATCATAAAGGGACGATACGAGTTGCCACTTGAATAATAATGTCCTGTTTTATTTGTAATATAAGTGTAAAAGGCCATTCTTACAGTTTCTTCCTTAAACCCCATGCTGCCGAGTGTTAGATGTGGGCATGTGACTCTGTCGCACATCCAAAGCATATTCAGAGTTTATCTATGTAACTTATTCACTGTGTAAATACATTTAAAATTTTTGTGATGTAATCTTGATTGATAATTATGTTCAGAATTGCTTTTAGACTAAAAAAGAAAAGGAAAAAGAAGACAAACTACATGTTGATCATGGATTTTATTTCTAGTTAATTAAAATATTTGCTTTTGACACATACTTGTGGTTTTGCCTGTGGCTGGGAGGTATACTGCGTGCTTGTGTCCTGTGACTGACACACCCTGCAGTTGTTTAGGGTGTGGTCCCTGAATCCAGACAGAAGTGCAATCTTTTTGGAAGTAGACACCAAAGTAAGAACATGACTTTTCTTTATAGACCTATTTTCCTTATATGTGTGCCTGAATGTATGTGTGTATGTATGTGTACCATGTACATGCAGTTGCCCGTGGAAGTCAGAAGAGGGTGTGGGAGATATAAATTGTTATGGGCACCATTGGAGTGCTAGTAATAAAACCCTGACCCTATGCAAGAGCAACAAGTGTTGAGCCATCTCTCCAGCCCCAATGCCTCTCTCTCTCTCTTTTTTTTTAATTTTTAGTTCTGTGTGCTATACATGCCTGTGCATGGGAATGTGCACTTGAGTACACATACCTGCAGAAACCAGAGGAGTCTGGTCCCCCTAGAGCTGTCCTTCAGGCAGTTGTGAGCCATTTGACACAGTGCAATGAATCAAATTCAGGTCCTCTACAAGACCAGTTGAGATCTAACCACTGAGCAATCCCTCCAAACCTAAGACTGTAGCTTTCAATCATCTTATTGGCCAAAGAGAAAAATCAGAGCTAAGAATGGTAGCTCATGCCTGTAATTCCCATACAGAGACACAGACATATAAATGATTGAATGAGTATGGTGCTTCTTTGCCCCTCAAAAGCCCTTCTAAAGCCACCAGAAAAAGTTTCCTAAATCTCCATTCTGCCTCTATCCCATCCCTATGCACCATCCCACTGAACCTTCCCAAGGTCCCCTGTCGCCTCCACATTACCCAACCTGCCTTGACTTTGTCTACATCATTCTTGACATGTCTCATCTTCGCTTTTATCACTCCTCTTTCCTATGCCTCTTGCCTCTTTTACTCTGTTGTTGCTCGAAATGATGGAGCGGAGGGTCCCCATGGCACCAGGAGCCTCTGGGGACATGTTAGATTTGCAGTGTCACAGACACTATCTGAATTAGAACCTTCACCCGAGTTCACCAGATAGCTCCTGGGCTGTTAAAATGGTAGGCATCTTGCAGTAAACACTGGTATATCCCAGGATTCTATGGCATACAACTTTTGTGGTCCCATCCAGGCTCATGACTCCAAATGCTGTTTCTTTCATTTCTATCCCTGATACACATAAATCAGCCTTCAGACATCTGCTTGGATAGATGTCTCGGATGCTTCAAACTTAGTATGTTGAAGGCAGAAACTCATTCTATGCCATTAAAAGGATCCACCAAAATATGATGTCGGGCTGAAGAGATGCTTTGTGGTTAAACAGACTTGGGTTTGGTTCCCAGCACCCACATCGTGGCTCGCAACTACCCATAATTCCAGTTCCAGGAGATCTGATGCCCTCGTCTGCCCTCTGTGGGCATCAAGATATATATGTACATGCAGGCAACATGTCTATATGTATAAAATAAAATTGAAGGCTAAAACATTTAAGAGGCTAGAGAAATTATCTCAGTAGTTAAGAGCATCAGCTGCTCTTCCAGAGGGCTAGGGTTTAGTTCCAGAAACCAACTTGATTGTTCTCACAACCATCTGTAACTCCAGTTCAAGGGGACCTGATGTCCTCTTCTGGCCTAAGCAGGCACTGCATGTACATGGTCTGCATACATTAATGCAGATAAAACACCTGGTACACAAAAAATAAAGGTTAACAAATTTTTCTTTCATTTCTCAAGACATAGTTTCTCTGTGTAACATCTCCTGATGGGAGATGTCATTTTGTCAACATGTTTTTCTTATTGTTTAATGAATAAAGTCCTGTTGGCCAATAGGAATGCAAGATAAGCGGGACTAGGAGACAAGGAGGATTCTAGGAGATGTAGTAGGAGAGAGAGAGAGTCAAGATGTACAGACTAGAGAGAAAGAGGTCCAGACCCTCTTTTCAGTAAGACAATACCATGTGGAAACACTTAGATTAATAGAAGAGCTAGCCAATAAGAAACACTAGTAACAGGCCAACAGCTTTATATCTAATACAGCGTCTCTGTGTGTTATTTGGAGCTGACACAGCTGTGGGACCAGGCTGGCAGAAAACTGCTTGTAACAGAGGCCTGACTGTCCTGGAACTCCATTTGTAGAGCAGACTGGCCTTGAACTCACAGAGATCCACCTGCTTCTGCCTCCAGAGTGCTGGGATTAAAGACATGGGCCACCACTGCTGGGCCTATGGTAGCTTTTCTAAAGGGAGGCCTCATAACACAGTTTCTTCCACTTGCAATGCTTGCTATTCTCATACATGGCTCCTACAAAACACCACTCAAGGTGCTGTGACACAGCCAGAAACAAATTCACGGGAAGCCAAACAAACTCAGCTCCATGATCTTAAAGGTTCAGCTTCCACATATGAGAGCCAAACAAACCTCTGTTTTTATAAGGTACCCAGGTTCAGCTCTTTTGTTACAGCAACACAAAGCAAGGGTGTGTTGGCTCTTTTTTTACTCACAGCATCACCAAGAGACAGGAACTATTTATAGATAGTGAGACACAGAGACCAAGTGACTTGCCCATAGTCACACATGGCTTAAATACTAATGTCAGAAGTGGGACCAAGATAGTGTGTGGCCCACATCCTTGCTAGCCGGTACAACTCTCAATGTCATCCCCCTCCATAGCTGAGAGTCACCATCTTGGGGGTGGGGGGTGACACATGCCTTTAATCCCAGCATTTGGGAGGCAGAGGCAGGCTGATCGCTGTGAATTCAAGGCCAGCCTGGTTTACAGAGTAAGTTCCAGGACAGCCAGGGCTGTTACACAGAGAAACCCTGTCTCAAAAAACAAACAAAAAAGGAGTAACCATCTTTTCTCTCCATCACCCACTGCCAAGCCTTGGGCATTTCCAAACATCTTGGATCTATGGATTCCTTCTCTAGCTCCATAGCTACCACTTTTTTTTTTTTTCCAAGACAGGGATTCTCTGTGCTGCCCTGACTGTCTACATAGCAAGTGTCAGGCTATCTAGAAACCTGTCCCAAAAAAATGTTGGTCACTTTAAATTTTTTTTTTTCTTTCAAGACAGGGTTTTTCTATGTAGCCCTGGCTGTCCTGGAACTCACTCTGTGGACCAGGCTGGCCTGGAACTCAGATCAACCTGCCTCTGCCTCCCTAGTGCTGGGATTAAAGGTGTGAGTCACCACACCTGGCTTTTTCGCCTCCTTATAAATGATGTCAACAGCTACTGTTTCCAGTATCATGGTGCTGCTTTGACCCAGGAATTCCTCATTAATGTGTTTCCCATGGTCTAGTTCACATGCATTTATTTTATTCCATTCACACTGCACACCTGTTTCCCAACCTATGGCATATACAAACGCTTAGACAATGCTCCAGTCAGAGCCAGCTTCACGGAGGGCTACACTGCTGCCGAGTCTACAAACCAGAAACTGCATCTGCTGTCACAGGATGAATTTAAAGCTGTAAATATTGCTACAGGAGAATTTCTTGTCTTTGCAGCGACCGCAGAGCTCCTGGCGATGTGGCCTTCTGATGTCAATGTGTCTTTTCTTTTGAGGACAGCAACAAGAGGATTTGGAGCAGGTCTTTGGGAGGCAAGTTAGGACAGTAAATGATCAATCAATGTTCCAAGTGCAGCCCCCCCAAATGAAAATACTCCTTCCCTCCCCCTTTATCCCATAGCTGTCCCAGTCCTGCAAAAAGACTATTCCTAAGATACACAAAGTGTCCACATCCCTTCAAAAGCCACCTGAGTGGTCACAGAAGCTGTTCAAGAGAATGTCACCATGCCAATCAAGACAATAGTAAAATCTGGCGAAGGGGGCATTTTATCTCTGTGTGTAATTTTATGTATCTATAACCAATGGGGATGAGAAGCAGTGTGCAGGGGTCATTTAATCAAAAGACAAGAGAGCTGTGTTCTCAACCAGGGGTGACTTTACTCCCTAGGGGACATGCTGACAAAGACAGGACACAGTTGGAGTTGTTACAACTAGGAAGAAAGTTCTTCTGAGGAAACTAAGTCCACTGTCAATGAGTTTACAATATATATAAGCTACAGGTGTATTTATTCATTTATGTTTGCATTTATTTATTTAGCGGGGGCATGGGTGGGTGTGGTGTGTGTCGTGATTTGAGTGTGGAGGTCATGGGACAACTAGGTTCTTCCGCTTCCATCTTTGTGGGTCCTTAGACGTGAGTCTGGTCAGGCTTGGTAACAAACACCTTTTCCTGCTGCCTCATCTTGCTGGGCCAGAAAACTAAATTCTTTTCTTCCCAATATATACCATCCTCACTGATACTTAAAGCCACACCCTTCAGTCAAGAGCCCTTCCTAGAGAGCCTGCCACACCTTCCTAGTCCGTGCCAACCTTAGATGCACACTGACCCACCATCTGCCACACTGAATAAGGCAAGGTTTACCTTTTGAAGACAGAGAGCTAGCATTTTCCAAACAGGAGTCTTCAGTTGAATGTACTGAACATCAGACAACAGTCACATTCTCCTTCCTCTAGCAGAGGGACACCCTTCCCTACAAATTAATTCCAAGTGTTCCACTTGGCTGGCACCATTCCAAGAACCTCAAGTAAATTAATTTATTGAATTATCCCCCTTCTTCAAGAAAGAAAATGAGGATTTTTTTTTTGTTTTGGGTTTTTGTTTGTTTGTTTGTTTGTGACAGGGTTTCTCTGTCCTGGCACTAGCTCTTGTAGACAGGCTGGCCTCAAATTCATAGCAATCTGCCTGCCTCTGCTGCTCAAGTGCTGGGGTTAAAGGAGTGAGTAAAATGAGGTTGTCGTTAAGACTAGATTTCTACTCTCTCTATAGTGGGTTAAGTAACACCAAGCTTCCTGGACAGCTAGAAAAGCTGAACCTAGAGCAATTGCTTAAGGCAGTGGGGGCAGCCAGAGCATTAAAGAGAAAACACAGAAATGTAAGTGAACCTAACTTAGGGACTGGTTTAAAAACTAAAAGCTGTAAGGAGGATGGACAGATGGCCGAGGGGTTAAAAGCCCATGTTGCCAGTCTGGTGGTAGTGGTGGTGCATGCCTTTATTCCCATTACTTGAAAGGCAGGGGCAGAAGGATCTCTGTGAGTTTGAGGCCAGTCTGGTCTACAGAGTGAGTTCCAGGAGGGGACTCCAAAGCAATACAGAGAAAAACCTGTCTCAAAAAAGGCAAAAAAAAAAAAAAAAAAAAAAAACCATGTTGCTCTTGCAGAAGACCCAGGTTTGATCCCCAGCACCCCACATGGTGGCTCACAATAGACTATAACTACAGTTCCAGGGGATCCAGTGCCCTCTTGTGGCCTCAGATGATACTGCACACATATGGTGCACATTCATATCTGCAGGCAAAACACTCACACATGTAAGATACAAATAAATATGAAAGCCCAGCAGTGGTGGTGGTGGTGGCACATACCTTTAATCCTGGCACTCAGGAGGCAGTGGCAGGCAGATCTCCGGAGTTCAATATCAGCCTGGTCTCCAGAGTGAGCTCCAGGACAGCCAGGGCTACATAGTGAAACTGTCTATCAACAAAATGCTCTCATCAAGTTCTGGGACTTTCTAGACTTTGGAGATCCAACCACAGTTCTAAAATTGTCTTACAGCACTGACTCTATAATCTGTTGAATGGAGATGACACCTGTCACCAATGTGAGGGCTACAGGAGGAAGCATATGGAATAGTACCTGCCAAGTCTGTATGAGAGAAAGAGGGTAGGAAGCTGAGAAGGAAATTAACAAATGGATGGGGCTACAAGGGTATATAGCAGAGAGAACCCTTCAGAAAGCTCAGTGCTGGCCTTGGGACCCAGGGCTATACCTACTAAATAAGAACTGATCAAAACTAAGCCTGCCTTAGCAGATCTGAAGATCTGTTTCAAAATAGATCAGCCATGACTGGAAGAGATGCATGGTCTGAAATGGCTAGGGTCATCTATCTGCCAGTTAGAAGCAGGCACAGATCCTCTCTGGAAGATGATATTACCCTAAGCCATGACTCATCACTACAGACTGTCATTTGCAATTGTAGCACACAATAAAAAATAACTAAGCATAGACAGATGGCAGTGATGCACGCCTTTAATCCCAGCACTTGGGCTTAGAGGTACGTGGATCTCTGTGAGTTCAAGGCCAGCCTGGTCTACAGAGCTAGTTCCAGGACAGCTTCCAAAGCAATACAGAGAAACTGTGTCTCAAAAAACAAAACAAACAAACAAACAAGAAAGAAAGGAAGGAAGGAAATAAAAAAGAAAAACCAACTAAATAAATAAATAAGCATATGAAGAGACAGCACACTTGAAAACCAGGAGAGTGACAGCACATTGGGGGTTAACTTAATGGATTTATCTGATACTAAATTTTAAAAGCTATGGTTAAAATGGGAATCAAAGTACATGCCAATCACAGCATTTCAGAAGGCAAAGGCTGGCAGACTAATTCCAGGCTAGCCAAAAAACAAATTTTAATCTGGGCATTGGTGGTGTACACCTTTAATCCCAGCACTGGGGAGACAGAGGTAGGCAGATCTCTGTGAGTTCAAGGCCAGCCTGGTCCACATAGCTAGTTGCAGAATAGGCTCTAAAACAATACAGAGAAACCCTGTCTCAAAAAAAAAAAATTTAAAAACCACATGAAAATATCTATCTTTGCTGGATGATGGTGGCACACATACCAGAGAGGCAGAGGCAGGCAGATCTCCATGAGTTCAAGGCCTGACTCTACAGAGTAAGTCCCATGCCCAAACTCAAAAGAAAACAAACAAACAAAAAAAAAAAAAAATAAAAAAAAAAAGCATTAATAGAAAGCCAAATCTCATCTAACTCAGAGACTTTCTAAACACTGAGGACACCATGAAATCCAATTAAGAGTTTTAACTTTTGGGGAATCTCCCTCGGAACTGCTCTTAGTGTACCAAGCTGTGACCTCTCCCCTAGAGCTGCCCTCTTCAGACCCTGCCCCTGGAAAAGCCCACCAAGGGTCAGCTCCTCCCTCTAAGATGCTCAAGACCACACCTACAGGCTATTTTCGATACAGTCACGCTCCCCTCCCCCCCCCCCAGGCCTGCTACTTGGTTCTCCCTCATGGTTTCTCCTCTTCCCCTGGGACCACCTGTAAATGCTTTGCTCAAATTAAAACCTGGACTTTAATTCAGCCTGATCTGATTTATTGCATCAGCAGAGAGACTTATTATCAAGGTAAGGAAGTTATCATTAACCTAGAAATCTGACCTCTGACAGCCTATCGTATCGTATTTGAACTGGCATTGTGATCTGCAAAACACCCCAGCATTTGGATGGTTATCCATCAAAAGGCAGACTTCTAAAGACACCCTGCATAAACACACTACAGAAGACAGCTTTCTACTTTTGTTTTGGTTGCTGAGGCGGAGTGTCAAGAAGCCCAGAATAGCCTTGAACTCGAATCTGTTGCTTTAGCCTCCCAGGATCATGACTATAGGTCATGATGGCTCATGCCTGGCTGATACAAGGAAACTTACAATACTGGATCTTCTCTCTCTTTCCAAAATAATAATAATAATAATGATGATGATGATGATGATGATGATGATGATGATGGAATTTATGCTTTTATTCCTTTTCTTAGAATAATCTAAGCTTTCACAAATACAAAAGACCAGAAGCTAGGTTTGTAAGATCCAAATACTTTGTGATGAAGGCTTCACACAGACACACAGAAATATGACAGTTAGAACATATGCACTTACCTGACACTGGATTGCTTCTACTCGGTAAGGATTAAATTTCTTTCTGCACTTGCAACACAGTTGTTTGAAATAAACCTAAGAGAATTTGGCCTTTTTTAATACAAGTTAATATATGTATATATTTCCTAGGTTCCCAGTTGTATTTTTTTAAAATACAGTTTGCTTATTGCTTATTTTTTACTTAAAACTTTGTGTATGAGTGTTTGTTTGTATGCAGACTGAGTATGTGTAGTATCCACAGAGATCAGAAGAGGACACTGGATCTTTTAGAACTGGAGTTGCAGGTGGTTGTTATCTGCTCTGTCCTGTCGGGAACCCACCTGGGGTTGTCGGCAAGAACTGTGTAAGTATTCTTAGCTTTTGTGCAACATCTGCAGCCTAGCCCCCCCAGTTCCTTTGATACAGTGTTTTCTTTCACTTTGTTACTTTGCTTGTCTTGTGTGTAACCTCTACCCTTGAGGGATTTTCCCCCCTTTTTGTTGTTGTTGTTTTGTTTGCCTCCATGTATATCTGTGCACCATGTATATGCACTGCCCAGAAGAGGCATTGGATCTCTTGGGACTGGAGCTACAAAGAGTCACCATGTGGGTGCTAGGACTCAAACCCAGTTCTTTTAACCAATGAGCTAATTCTCCAGTCCCGTACTTTGAGGTTTTAAGCTCTGTGAGTTCCATCACTCATTTTCCATTTTCCTCAGTTGTAAAATTGAGATAGCATTATTTTTTCTGTACTCTGATAACTACTCAGCAACGCATAGAGAATCATAGTATTATAGTAATTTCTCCATAGGAAGCAGCTGTTACTAGTTTTGTCGAGGGTTATGAGACATTCCTCCTTTTGTCCAGGCTCTGCCTCCTAAGTGCTGGGACTAAAGGTGTGCACCACCACTGCCCAGCTGGTTTTCTTTTTTTATTGAGAAAGAAACTCCTCTGTACGTAGCCCTGGCTTGCCTGAACTTGCTTTGTAGACCAAGCTGGCTCCAAACTTGTAGAGATGACCTTTCCTCTGCCTCCAAATGCCACCATGCCTGGCCTTTCTGTTACTTTAAAGCAGCGACTCTCAACCTTCCTGATGCCACCCTTTGCTACACATTTTGTGGTGACTCCTAACCATCAAATTATTTTTATTGCTACTCCATAACTCTAATTTTTGCTACTGTTATGTCTGTGTTTTCTGATGGTCTTAGAATACCCATGAAAAGGTTGTTCTACATCCATGGGGGCGGGGGGCTTGGTCCACAGGTTGAGAACCACTTCTTTAAAGTTTTATTTGGACACCAGGATCAGGTCTGTTAAACAGGTTAATCCTCCAGTACTGTGTCATGTCCTAATTGCTTCCAAGCCGTGGGCACCATTGAACCTTTCACTACACTGCATTTTTGTTTGCACTCTTCCTATCAGAATACAATTATTTGTTGTTTTGAGTTTAAGAAAGGAGTCTTATTATATTATAGAGCCCCTGTACAGCTGGAGGGGCTTCCCTAGTTTTTCGAGATAGGATCATATGTAGCTCAGACTGGCCTTTAACTTGAGATTTGCCTACCTCTACTTCCCAAGAGCAGGGGTGGAACCCTGTGCCATCACACCCCGCTCCAGAATATGTTTCTTTGACTTCTCTAGCCTGTTCTTTGTACCCTACTACTTCAGAAGGGTCTGGATGCAGCCCTTTGTCTTTTCTTCTGGCAAGAAAGAGATGGGAAGTTAATTTAACTTGGTTTTCAATTCCAACCAGGTATGAAGAAGGCACACACCTGTAATCCCAGCAGCAGGAGCCTGAAACAGGAAAATCCTAAATTCAAGACCAGCCCATGTGCCTGAGATCCTGGCTCAAATGAGAACAAACAACAGGATAAGCAAATCAGTAAAACTGAATGAAAACGTCTGCTGCCCTTGGGTTGGGTCTCCTCTTGCCCAGGGGCTGAGGTGTAACTGCACGGAGCATAGACCAAACCCTACGCTGTGAAAGAGCTCTCTCTAGTGCTGCCACAGGCACACTTGTGGAAAACAAATTTTTCAGGCTTTGAGGAGTCTAACCAGTCCTCAAGAACAAAAACAACACTTCAAGAAAATAAGCAGCAGCTGGGCTGGAGAGATGGCTCAATAATTAAGAGCTCTTGATGCTCTTCCAGAGGTCCTGAGTTCAATTCCCAGCACCCATATGATAGCTCATATTGTCCTCAATGAGATCTGGTGTCATCTTCTGGCCTGCAGGCAGAACACTGTATACATAATAAATAAATAAATAAATAAATAAATAAATAAAAATAAGCATGGCACAGTGTCCCAGCACTCAGAAGGTAGAGGCAAGAGGAGCTCTGAGAGTTTGAGGCCAGCCTTGTCTACACAGTAAATTCCAGGCCAGCAAGGGCTACACAGTGAGACTCTGTGTGGAAACAAATGAAAATTTACCCTCAGTAGTGATACAGCAAGTCTGAGACCAAACTGGCTTCATGAGACCCTAACTCAAGGAAAACAAAAAGAAAGGGAAATAGCTAGGTTCCCCAAGAAGTAGGTAGAAAACTGACTATACTATAAACAGGAATACAAATAAAATACCTGATAATGAATTTAAAAGACATTTTCAGCAGTTTTGTTTTGTTTGTTTGTTTTGTTTTGTTTTGCTTTATTTTTGGAGACAGGGTTTCTCTGCATTGTTTTGAAGCCTGTCCTGGAACTAGCTCTGTAGACCAGGCTGGACTCGAACTCACAGAGATCCGCCTGCCTCTGCCTCCCAAGTGCTGGGACTAAAGGCATTTGCCACCAATGCCTGGCTTTGTCAGCAGTTTTTATGAAGAGGTTTAATGTCTTGACAGAAATGCAAGACCTGACATCTGGAGAGATGATAAAAACTCTTAAAAATAACCTTACACTATCTAGGCACAGTAGCACACACCTTTAATGTCAGTGCTTGGGAGGAAGAAGCAACAAGCAGACTCTGTGGGTTCCAGGCCAGCCAGGGCTACATAGTGAGACTGTCTGAAAAAAAAAAAAAAAAGGTAAAAGTAATTTATACTTATATATGAAGTGAGAAATGCAAAGAACTCTAGCAATAAAGAATGATAATATTTAGTCTCAGAACAGCCTAAGTTGGTAGAAGAAAAAAAGGGGAGCTCTCTAGAGTAGATGAGGACACCCGAAGTTACCCAAGACAAGAAATAATAAGTAGGAAATTAAGTTTATAACAGTATTTAAAGCACAAAGTGTCACCTAGAAAATCTCATCACAGACCTGAATGACTAGGCCCAACTGAAAATGTGCTTTTAGCATAATTGCTAGACACAGGAGAGTTTCTTGTCTTGTTTCGTTTTGAGATAGGGTCTCACTATGTATCTCTGGCTGTCCTGAAACTTACTATGTGTACCAGGCTGGCCTTGAACTGGCAGATCTGCCTGCCTCTGTCTCCCAAGTGCTCAGATTAAAGGTGTGTGCCACCATACCCAGCTTGTTGTTTGTTTTTGAGATATGTGTAAAGGTCCTCTTATGTAGCCTCAGCTGGCCTCGAACCTGATTGTACCCCTCTCAAGTGCTGCAGTTACCGACTTATATGTTACCACTCCTGGTTAGTTTTGTGTGTGTGTGTGTGTGTGTGTATTTACTTATTTATTTAGTCACTGATGCTCACACTCAATGGGAGTGTCAATATGAAATTCATTGCTGCCTGTCAACAAGAATGCAAAGGTGAAGGCGGGAACCCGAGTCCTCCCACTAACACCTGTGGCTTCCAGGCCTCTGCGCCACTCCCCCCATGCAAGCACAGTTATGGGCTTCTGTGTTGCCATTCCTGGTAGGATGTTTATTTATTTATTTAGTCACCTGCCCTTCCAAGCCTTGGCGCCCCTCCCCCACAGCAGTTCACTTACTTTGTTGGTACCAGAGATGCACCACACGTAGGCACTCTCCCATCTGGTCTTACAGTCTTTACAGTGAAAATAGCCATATTTTGGTTCCAGAAACTGAAAATAGAGAGAAACGGGAGTCTTTTTACTAATGGGGGTGGGGTAGGGTCTAGATCCTCATATCCTGTTTGACAGGGCCTCACTTAAAGCTATTCCTTATGTAGCTCTATTGATTTAGCTTCTGGGCTTGCTCAAGGACATTTCCAGACCATCCTCCACAACACCAACATCTCCCAATATAAAAATCTAGGTTCACCTTTCACACACTTGAAGCCCATGGTGCCCCTCATCATCGCCAGCAATAGTGACAAGACTTTTAAGTTAGGCTCCACCCCTTATCTTACCAAACCCTGAAAAACTCCAGACCACATAGACAAAGTACATGCTTGCAGCACGCCACCTTCCTCGCCAAAGAAAAGGTAGAAACTAGACAGTTAGCACTTACTTACTGCTCTGGAAATGGAAGGAGGGAGGATAGTACTGGTGAGGGCTTGAATAGAGAGAAGGCATGGTCCAGATGGAAGCTGGGCTTCCCAAGTGGACTGAGACTGTGTTTCCACATACCAGCTTGCTTTTCCTGTCCTGAGGGCTGGGGGCATCTTCCTCCCTGACTTCTTTCAGCTCTGGGAGTTTCTCTTGCTTATCACCATCTGGCCTCAATGTAGGTGGCGGCAGCTGACTGGCCTCTGCAGGTCCAATAAGCTCTTGGCTTTCTCTGTCTTCCCCATCCTTGGGGAGCTGGATCAAGCCTCCATGGTAAGCTTCTGCAGGCTTCCTGAGGTTGGTTCTGTCCCAGTGGGAGCTGCTATGTAGGGTCTGAGGCCCCAGTGAGCACTGTACCGACTTGTCCACCCGAAGGCTCACCTGTACACCCACCTCCTTAGTATTGGCCTTGCAGAGCCGTAGACTCAGGTTGGGGTTCATCTGGGTGAGAATGGCCTGAAGCTGAGCCCTCTTGTAAGGGTATACATGGGATTCAGGAACATTCACTGCTACCATAGGCCCTGGCCTAGCTAGGAAAACGGGATGACCCGTGTTTTGCCTCCAGTCTTGTTGTTTACAGTGTCCCCAGAGGCCAGGGTGGCTCAAAGGCTGTGTGCTCCCATAGCCTTGGTGTAAGCCACAGTGAACTCGGACAAAGCGCTCCATTTGGGGTAGTTTCCTGCTGGGGTTTGCGTTCTTGTTTTGCTTTCTGTCCTCACCTGTCTCTTCTTCCTTGCAGATCTGGTTCAGGTTCACCCAGGTTTCTTCATTTATTCCAGAGTGGGAGCTGCTCCCCTAGCTCCCTAATTGAAGGAGGGAGCTGTCCATGGGCTACTAATTGTTTTCCTACCTTCTCAACTAGCAATTCTCAATTGTTTTCCCCCCAAGGCTGTTTTTCATTTCTGTCTTCTCCAGCAGGCTTTGATTACTCATTTCATTCATGTATTCTCTTGGTGACTATTTTGTTGATCTGGTATTTGTTGATGGGAATGTAAATTAGTATAGGCATTATGGAAAACCACACATGGCTTCTTCCTCAAGAATTAAAAGCAGGAGGGCAGGAGAGATGGTCAGTGGCTATGTGTGCCAGCTTCAATTCACAGCGCCCACATTGGGTGGCTCACAAACACCTGTAACTCTAGCTCCAGAGTATCTGACCTCCTCTTTGGACTGTAACTTGCACGCATAGACACACTTATATGCACATAATTTTAAAAATATGTAAGTAAATCTTTTTAAAAAAGAACTAGCAGATGACCTAGTAATCCCACTATTTGTATGCATACTCTAAGAAAGTGAGATCAAGAAAGTAAGAGATTCTGAGCATCCAAGAGTCAAACTATGGATGCAACAGATAACTAAAGAAACAATCCTATATGGGAATTCCATTTAGTCATTAAACAAAAAAGAGAAAGCAGGCATGGTAGTGCAGGTCTTACAATCCCAGAACCTGGAAGGCTGAGGCAGGAGACTTACAAGTTTGAGACCAGTCTGGCTATACATCCAGACCCTGTTTTGCTTGTTTACTTGCTTGTTTTGTTTTGGTTCTGGATGAACCTGGAGGACATTGTGTTAAGCGCTATAAGCTGAACAGAAAAAAAAATGTATTATGTGATCTCATATGTAAAATCTAAGGAACTCAAATGCATAATCACCATTGGGGTGTGGCATTGGTCAAAAGGCCTAAAAGTGAGTTAAGTGGGATGGGTAAGTCTGGAAGTCTAAAACACAGTATGATGATTGTAGTTAATAATTGTTGATGTAGAAACACAGCCTTCATCTCAAAACAAATAAGAGTCAGTTTATTTGGGAGGTAAATTTGAGTCACTGTGGTGGTCCAGAAACATGAACTTAGGTTACCCCAAATTCTGTTTTCCAGTGTGGAGGTAGTTTCATGAAGTATCTATAGTAACAGAACAAAGAAGGTCATAAATCAAGGCATTTTTAAAAATGAATTGAGGCAGGTGTTGGTGGTGCTTGCCTTCAGTCCCAGCATTTGGGAGACAAAGGCAGGTGGATCTCTGTGAGTTTGAGGCCAGCCTGGTCTACAGAGATAGTTCCAGGATAGGTTCCAAAGCAATACAGAGAAACCTTGTCTCAAAAAAACCAAATAAATAAATAAAATAAATAAAAATTTAAAAGATGAATTGATGGGGCTAGAGAGATGGCTCAGCCATTTAAAAAACTATTGGTAAAAAACACCAGAGAGATGGACTACAGACAGGGAGAGATCGCAGCTACTGGCCTCAAATGCTATCTGATAGCATTCTTGGACCTTTGGTTGGTACAATTTTGTTAATACGTTCCAAAGGTTTTTGTTTTGTTTTGTTTTGTTTTTCAAATCTGCTCATTAGAATATTAGGTTCCATACCCCAGAAATGGGCAAAGAATACATCTTTGGGGAACTAATGACAGCATGAGATAAAGTTTAATTAGGCTTTGAACCTATAACATTTCCAAACTCTCCATGGTAATTAGGTTTTAATCAATAGCTTTATAGACACAACCTTTTCCTAGGGATTCCCATTCACACAATATTGTGCCATATCATTGTTTTGCTAAGAGACTAGATTTGGTACTATGACACACCTATACATAGAATGTAACTATGTGAGTGTGTGACTATTGTTAACTATGTGACTTGTATTCATTACTCACAGTGTATATGAGTATCAAGACATGGTGCACATTAGATACACTTTTATGAAATTGATCATTTAAAAACAGTGAATTGAATCCTATAAGTCTTGATAGTAAACAAGCTGAGCAACTGAACTCAAAGATAGGGAGTATGCCAGAGTAGATGCAAGGGATGTGAGCTTCTTTGTACCAGTAATAAGGGACATAGTTATAAGCTGGTGAGGGCCAGGAGTGTGTGGTAATGAAACATCTTTCAGAGCATGAAATGGGGTTCTCTTTACCTCAGCTCCTCCATCTTAGTGAGACACCTCTCTCCTCCAAATTCCCCAGAGAAGAAAGCACTTATTTATTTATTTTTTAAGTATAGTCTCTTTTGTTTTGCTTTGTTTTGTTTTGAGACAGGGTTTCTCTGTGTAGCCCTGGCTGTCCTGGAACTCTCTCTATAGACCAGGCTGATCTTGAATTCAGAGATTCACCTGCCTGTGCCTCCCTGGCATGCACCACCACCACCCAGCTCTAAGTAGAAATTTAGTATTATGTTTATGTGTTTTATGTATGAATGCTTTATCTGCATGTATACCTGCACACCAGAAGAAGGCATTAGATCCCATTATAGATGGTTGTGAGCTACCACATGGGTGCAGGGAATTGAACTCAGGACCTCTGGAAACGCAACCAGTGCCCTTAACTGCTCATCCATCTCTCCAGTCCCTAACTTTTTGTTTGTTTTTCAAGACATGGTTTCTCTGTATAGCCCTAGCTGTCCGGGAGCTCACTTTGTAGACTAGGCTGGCCTCGAACTCAAGAGATCTGCCTGTCTCTGCCTCCCTAGTGCTGGGATCAAAAGCGTGTGATGTGTGACACCAACTCCTAGCCCTAATTCTTATTTATATGGTCAGTGCAGATTTCACAAGGTAAGTATATGATGTCAAATGGATTCTAATTCAAACTTGGAACTATTACCAGGCTAGTTATCTACTTGATGAATTTGTGACCATTGAACAATACTAGACATTTTATAGTATTTTAAGAAACATTCAGTAAGTAGTAATTTATTACTAGATAATACCACACTTGCCTCTTCTTTGCTAACTAGACCTACATCCCAAGTTTTAGGTTTTTTGTTTGTTCATTTGTTTTTACATTAATGAGGCTTCCTGCTACAACTAAGGTTTACTGATTACCAGACATGTTCTGGAAGCAGCAAGGCTCCCTAAGATTTCACTTGCTGAATTAAATTGAAGGCTTTCTAAGGTTCAAACATTAAACCCAAAGCCATGCACTAAGCTAGTTAGCCTGTAAATTCAGCTCAGTTTCTAGCTCAGTTTCCCAGAGAGTCACAAAACATGGTGATCATATCCTGAAAGTGTAAAAGATACTACCTAGGCCTGCAGAAAGGAGTACTGATGTGGCAGGACGTGGGGGCAGGGATCACAACTTGTGTCCCAAGCCAGGTCCTACCACCAGTCCCTCAATAAGCCAGCTAAAAGAGCCTAATTAAAAGTGGAAAGCAGAACGGGGTGACTTTGGGAAGGGGGCAAAGAGATCCAGCAAACCCTTCCAAAGTCCATCTTCAGAGTAAAGTGTCTTTGGATAGAGAGGAGACAGATGTGTCCAATAGAAAAATCCCAGCACTTGGGAGGCAGAGGCAGATGGATCTCTGTGAGTTTGAGGCCGGCTTGGTCTACAGGGCAAGTTACAGGACAGGCTCCAAAGCTACAGAAAAACCTTGAAAACAAAGAATAGAAAAGGGGGGGGGGGAGCAACTTATAAAAGTAAAAGGGGAAACCCCATGTTATAAAGAGGTGTTTACTTTTTTCTTCCCTTTTTTTCTTTTTTGTTTGTTTGCTTGTTTTGTTTTTCGAGACAGGGTTTCTCTGTGTGGCTTTGGAGCCTGCCCTGGAACTCACTCTGTAGACCAGGCTGGCCACAAACTCAGAGACCCATCTGCTTCTGCCTCCAGAGTGCTAGGGTGCGCTTCCAATGCCCGTGGGATGTTTAATTTTAAACTGGGCATGTTAAGTAGGTAAGCCAAAGGTGGCTTTGATTGCTGGCCTTCAATACTGTGAAGGCTGGACCTTGGTAGTCATCCTCAGGAGGAAGTGTCCAAATAAGGGAACAGACTTGGTGGCTAGCTTTAGGAATGTAACTTAACGGTCTTTAGCAAGGCAGAGGGAATGGGGGAGAAGGGTAAGCCCTGCCAGAGCCGTGTTTGCCATGCTAGAGATGGTCTGAGACCGTTCACAACCCACATCGATTAGGAAAGAAGAAACCGCAAGGGACCCACCCGCATGTCCCCAGGGCGCCGAGACGGGCTCGAGGGTTAAAAAAGGTGCCGGGGATCTGAGTGGCTGCGGATGGGCAGGTGTTCTGGGAAAAAGGCGCGCGCTCAGACCCACCCGGTGGGGAGAGGGCTAAACTGGGAAAACTCAAAGACCGCCGCGAATAGCTGCAGGGAGACCCGTTCCCCCGACTTCCGGTCGGCGCTGGGGCGGCGTCGCCGTCGCCGAGTCATGACGTCAGGGCACAGCGCGGGCTTTTCGCGGGAGCATGAGAAGTGAGACCGCGCAGTGTCTGTCAGCGACTGCAGCCTGAGAGGGTCAGTGCGACCAGGTACATGCGGACGCTGGCTCCGGGGTCTCAGGGGCCGAGGGAGGCACGCGTGGCATCCCGGAGGAATCCCTCTACCTCCTTCAGGGCCGCCGCCCACCCCGCTCAGCCCCGGGCAGGTTCCCGCCCACCCAGCTCCTTGCAGCCCGCGGGCGTTCCTCCCTGGCGCGTCCCTAGAGCCCACTGGAGCGCTTTATTCTGTAGTTACTGCATTACCTAACGTGCCTGTGTCAACTCAGCTCCGTAGTTAAGTGAACGTGATTAGCTTTAAAGAATATTAAAGACTTGTTACTGACGCGCACCATATCCACTTTCTGATGCATACGATGTACCTAGTCGCCGTTTGATTTGAAGCACAATTATAAACTTGGCCCCATCCTCATGGTAAATTCTGTTCTTGTCCCAAAAGATGGGCC